TTTTTTCCAATCCTTTAAATCCTTTTGTACTTTTGCCCATAATGGTTCATAATTGTTCTTATACAATTTTCCATTTGAAGCAGTTAAATATACTCCCAAGTATTTAACCTTTTTTACCATCTGAAAACCTGTAGCTTCAACCAGACTTTCCCTATCCTTAACTAACATATTCTTAGGTAATATCTTAGTCTTGTAATTGTTAACTTTAAAACCAGAAACATTCCCATACTGTGTTATAAGTTCTAATAAGCAATCAATCATTTGATTCGGTTGTTCCAAAATTAAAACCAAATCATCTGCAAAAGCCCGCAGTTTATACTCATTCTTCCTTATCTTTATACCCTTGACTACCGTTGATTCTCGAATCTGGATGAACAAAATTTCCAACGTTAAAACAAATAACAATGGAGATAATGGGCATCCTTGTCTTGTCCCTTTTTCAATATTGAAAGTCTCAGTCAATCCCCCATTTACAACAATTTGTGCAGATTGTTGCTGATATATAGCTTTAAGTGCATATAGAAACTTATCCCCAAAATTCATTTTCTCTACCAATGAAAATAAAAATTGCCAATCTAGTTGATCAAAGGCTTTTTCAGCATCCAAAAATATAAAAGACACAGGAATCTGATTATTCTTATCCAAATACTCAATTAAGTTTATGATTTGTCTTACATTATATTTCATATATCGCCCTGTTATAAATCCTGATTGATCACTATAAATCAAATCCTTCATAACCATCATTAATCTATTTGCCAAAATTTTAGTGAAAATCTTATAATCAACATTTAACAATGATATTGGCCTATAATTCTTGGGCTCTGTGAGATCTTGATCCTCTTTCGGAATCAGTGATATAAAAGCTCTTTTCCAAGAAGGAGGAACTTGTGCTCCCAACAAAATACTATTAAAAAGCTCCTTTAATGGCTCCATCATTTCTTCAGATAAAATCTTATAGTACCTCGACATTAATCCATCTGTTCCTGGAGACTTTCCCACCTTTAACTGCTTAATAGCTAAACCAATTTCCTCCACAGTAATTAAACAATTCATCCCATTTTGTTGTTCCTTAGAAAGTTTAGGAAAATGTGCTGATTGTAAATATTTATCTATATCCAATCCTTTTATATTGTCACTTGAATATAATTTTGTATAAAAATCTAAAAAACTCTTTTTAATCAAATTTTACTGAAAAACCTCAGTACCTTTATATTTTACTTTCTCTATAATTCTAGCTTTCTGTTTCTTTCGTAACTGATAAGCCAACCACTTCCCAGGCTTATTTGCATTACAAAAAGTATTATGTCTCATATAAGACAGATTGGTAGCCACCTGATCTTCCATCAACATATTAAATTGTTCCCTAAGCATCTTTATTGAAACCTTTAAGTTATTATCAGTTGGATTAAGAACAAGCGCTTCTTCTTTTAATTTAATCTCTTCTTCTATTTCTCTACGTCTTTGTAACCTTTTATCCCTAGAAACTTTATTTAAATGAATCAAGATTCCCCTCATATACGCCTTACTGGCATCCCAAACCATGGGCATTGATGTACCCTTGTTCATGTTTAAAGCAAAAAATTCCTTTAAATGCTCTTTACATTTTTGTACAAACTCTTCCCGAGTAAACAAATTTTCGTTCAGTCTCCAGGGTCTTCTATTCCCATCTTCCAAATGTAGCTCCATCCACACCGGACTATGATCTGACAAGGTCCTGGGGAAGATTTTTACCTTCCTCACCCTGGAAAAGAAATCTCTAGTAATCAAAAAAAAGTCAATCCTTGAAAATGACTGATATCTATCCGAATAAAAAGTGAAGTCTCTATCACTTATGTTCCTTTCTCACCAAATGTCAATAAGCTCCAACTCTTCTTTCAAATCAAAGAAAGTTTTGGGTAATTTAGTTTGAGTAAAAGTTTTAGAAAAACTCTTTTTATCTATAGTTGAGTCTAAAACTCCATTCCAATCACCCATCAAAATTACAGATTTGTAATCCAACTGAGATATCTTCCCATGCAAAAACTTATAAAATTGCTTCTGTTGTTGATTAGGAGCATATAGTCTAACAATAAGAACTTTCTTGCCTTGTATTGGTAATTCCACAAAGACATATCTTCCTTCAGAGTCAGCCTCAATTAGTTTAGGTGAAAAATTTTTCTTCACATAAATTACAACACCCCCTTTTTTCCCTGGAGCTGGAGCCATAAAATGTGATCCCAAACAAGAGTTTATCAAAAATTTTGAGTCCTTTGAAGTTATATGAGTCTCTTGCAAACATATCAAATCATTATTATGTTGTTTCAAATAATGAAAAATCTTTCTCCATTTCTGTGATGAATTTAAGCCATTAACATTCCAGGTCAAGAACTTGGCCATCTCCACTGGCCTGGAGCCTCTGGAGCATGGCCTGTAGATCAACTGTCAACGATCTTTTAGGTCTTGCCCCTCCCACAGGCTCTGTAGTAACCATTTTTTCTACCTTATCACCACTCTTCTGCTGCTGCTCTTTTTCTTTACGTTTATGGGCAGCTCGTGTCATCCTTTGATCTTTTATCTCAAGATTTTGTACAGCTTGTTCCATAACCATCATTGAAGAGGCTCCTGCCATAACAGGCTCTTCAATTATCCTTGTTTGTGAGGGTGAAGACGATCTTGCCTTTAAAATAGAATGATAAAAATCTCTTGCCTTTGAGACTGTAGTTAATCTATGATGTGTCCCATCATAATTCACTACTATTCCTCTTGGAATCTCCCATCTGAACTGAATTTGACGATCTTTTAACTCATCAGACAGAAAAGTAAAGTCTTTTCTGCCTCTTAGAATTTTGGGAGGTATTTCTTTTAAAATTATCACGTCTTGATCTGCAATTTGAAACTTCTGTTTATAAAAAGCCTGTATAATTTCATTACGAATAAATCTTCTAGAAAAATAAATAACCACATCTCTTGGTAGGTTTCTCTGTCTAGCAACCCGTGAGTTGACTCTAAAAAATTTTCTATCTCATTCCCAATTATTTCAGGTCTCCATCCAAGATTAATAGCAATATCTTTCACAATAAGCTTCTTTAAGTCCTCCTGAAAGTTTTCTCTCAATCCCCTGATACGCAATGCAAACTCCATCTCTCTGTATTGTGAAATAATTTGTTCATCCTGTGTAATTTCTATCTTATTCTCCACCTCCTCCATTCTAGATTCCAATCTTGTTGCATTTTCGGTAATCTCCTCCATTTTGTCATCAATTCTTTCAATATGCAGAGCAAGACCTTGAAATGCAAATAGGATGTCCTCCCTGACTTGCTCGTTTTTTTTCTCCAATAGTTGTTCTGTAATAGCCCTCTCTGAAATTATAAGATCTTTTACTTCCTCTTTAATATCCAAAGCATTCTTTTTTAAAGCTTCTTGTAAGTCTTTAAGAGAAATTGCAGGAGGAGGGGAGGGTGGGGGTGATTTTGGTTTCTGAGAAACAGGCTGAGACATTGGAGATGAGATGGAAGCTTTAGAAGCAGGGAGCAAACGTTTTGAAGCCATTCTCTTAAATACAAAAGAACAAAATTCTTGCCTATAAAATCACAGTTCTTTAAATAGTAGCAAAAAGAAAAAAAGACAAAAAGAAAGAAAAAGAGAAAAAAGAAACCAAGTTCTTGCCTCTATATTTAAAACATTGATCTATGTCCAACTTTTAACTTTGTTGCTAAATCAAACAAGAAAGACGGTCGCCATTTTGCCTTTCACTTTCCCTTTCTTCAAAAGGGAAAGTAAACAATAAAAAGAGGAGAAGATACTTGCTGGAGTTAAAGTCACAATCAATCTTAAACGCAGTTTCTCCTGGTCTGCTCTGTCTGCATTTAAGTACCAAAAAAGCAGATGTGGGAGCGGCACCTTGCTTCATCCCAAAGCTTCGGGACAAAGACATCCTGGAGTGCGGAGATGGCTCAGGCTCCGAGGGAGCTCTACCCTCCGAGCCCTGAAATTATGGGGATCCAGGGGAGCTCTTACCTCTACCTGAGCAGCTCTTCTCCTCTCTTTCTCCCAGGGAGGAGATTCAAACCGCAGGACAGCTGATTGTAAAAATCCCGCGGCTTTTACACAACCCAGGAACGGGCTGCTTTGTGAAAAGCAGCCATCGTAGCTGCTTGATCCACAGGAAGTCCCTTTTTTGTTCTCTTTCTTGATATGAGTAATATTAAAAAGTTGAAATTATTTAGATAAAGGAAATATTTAAATGTGATTGAATTTAAGAAACTTATAATGAATAAAAATGTTTTGAATAAGAGTTAAAAGACTAGATGACTAGATGTATTAAATGGAATGTTTAAAGATTAAACATTTTTAATTATGGTTAAAAAGAAGAAATTTAGGAAATAAATATATATTAGCTTAGAGGGATATATATTTTAAGTAGTATGTTCTTTTTTATGCTTCTTTACTCTTGCTTTTCTTTCTTTTTTTCTACTGTTTTATCTATTCCTTAAGAATTGTAAAAGTGTGAGATGGTTCATATGGAAAAATAGTTAAATTCTTAAATGTAATTAACTTTTTAGAAAATCTTAACCAGTAAGAATATCTAGAATTTGGTGGGAGAAACAAATTAAAATAAGGACTGTAACAGGATCTATGATAAGGCAACCAGAATGATTGGATAGAAAAAAATATTATATTGATGTGATTATTATTTTTAGGACTATTGGGAAAAATATATATTTAATTGTTATCTATCAAAACAATAAGAATTGTATTAACTCAATGTTTGCAAAAGAGGATATTTTGGGAAAAGAGGAAATCAACTAAAACTATTACGTGGATTATGGATTATAGAAATCAATTGTTAGTGATTGTTTTACAAATGTAACTCAGACAACACACTGTTCACCAATTATTGATTTATGTTTTTTAAAAATCAATAAAATATATTACAAAAAAAAGAGTGGGTTGATGTGTTCTTTGATAAAGGTGAAAGCAAGACAAGAGCCAGTAAATTATAAAGAAAAACAAAAAAATTGAGGCTGGATATTAGGAGTAATTTTATTATGCCCATAGCTATTAAGCAGTGCTTAATTCTCCCTTGCTGGAAGTTTTCAAATGAGATTGGATTGTCACTTGTCAAAGCAGTTTAATGGATTCCAGCACTAGATCCAATCCCTGGACTGGATGATCTTTGAATAAATCTTGACTCCCGGCAACAGGTCCATGCAGTTTCCTTGGCAACGTTCCAGAAGTGTTGGTCATTGCTGCCTTGTAGGATATTTTAAGTTCCCAGTCTAGAACAAAGTGTGATTGATTCAAAATCATCCAGCTAGTTTCTATGTCTAAGGGGGACTAGAACCTGGGTCTTACTGCTATTTATCTAGTACCCTAACCTCTGGATCACCTTGGTTTTCAAGTGGCTTATAAGATCCCATGGACTTATACTTCCTATTATTTTTATTCCTTTAGGAGCATAATGATAGAAACATGACAAAGAACCAACATATAACAAAGGATAAGTAAAGTAACAATAAAGATAACTGTTTCAGCAATAAATCTACAATACAACAGAAGTAGAATTGATTTCATTTATATTCAGTCATTGAAGAAAATGCCAAACTGTCTATTTGCAGTTTGCACTTTCAAATTTGCTTTCCTGTGCCTGGTTATGTTAATATACTCACATTTTGTGATATAATATCTAGTTGAAGTTTGCTCTTAGATTGGACAAGAATACGATACACATTGGTCAAATCAAATCTTATGCTTAATGTCTTTGGAGGTAATCATGCAGGTCAGGTGTCTCAAAGGTGCTTTTCTAAAATGGCAGCTGGACTTTCTTGGATTCTTTTCCCTTGAAAACATTTTGCTTCTCATCCAAGAAGCTTCTTGAATTCTGAAGTTCTGAAAAAAAAATCAAGAAAGTCCAGTTGCTTTTTGGAAAAGCATCTTTGGGACAAATCTTACATTAGAATGTTTCAGGGACAAAAGGTTATGAAATGTATTGGTCAGTGAAATTAACCCAGATCCTATCTTCAGAATGTCATTTGATTCTATTTTGGCTCATAAATGAACTGTTCACTGTTTTTGTTAGTAGATTTAAGGGCTACTGTAGCAGGAACTGACAATTTAAGTGCCATTTAACATAATAGATTTTACTCACTTGTGAAAATTGTTCCTAGGGGGAGGAATACTAGCAACAAAGGGAAGGGAAGACAGAAGAACAAGTAAAAACAAAAAACAGCATGTTCAAATGTCATCACCACACAATAAAAGAAGAGATACCAAAAATGTTCCCTTTATGCCTTTCCATCATTTTAATGCTAATTACACCAAATGTAATTTTAAAATAAGGAATGCAAACAAGTACAACAAAAACCACATTGGCTTATTGGCTTGTATCTAATATCTAATAAGCAGTCCTGAGTAACAGTATGGCAAGAAGTGTCCTGGGTTAATGAGACAACCAACAAAGGCATTGAAACAGCTTTTTAAAAAGAAAATAAACCATATTTCAATAGCCTAGTGAATCTGTAGAACCAATCTTACTTGTTAATACAGTAATCAGATTGAAAACTGATAAGATCCATCAGCTGTTTTTGCCAAATTGATCAGCAAAGTACATATACTGGGGCAAGTATTGACATAAACAGAATTCTGGAAGTAGTCATAGGCTTTTGAAAATGTCTAAGTCCAGTTACTATTCATTCTGCAATATAATTCCTTAAGGGGTTGTTTGCACTCATCCCAAATGCTGTAAACATTTTAAATCACTTTCCAACATTTAGAAATGTTCTTAAATAGAGAATGAGCTGATAAGTTTTTGTAAAAAAAAAAAAAAAATCTGTTCTTTTGAAAAAGAGAAGGCCACTGCAGAGAGTTGAGGTTCTATTATGTTTCTAGCCAAAACTGGAAGTCTTTGCTGAATTAATTGCATTATTAAGCTCACTCCCAGTGTGACAGGAAGAACCATCTGATATGCCTTGCTGGTTAAGGAGCACAGACTGAGAAAGAAAGTGGTTGAGGATTTCCCAAGAAATATGAAATTAAAAAAGAAACATTAGGAGGCTGTAAAGTCCATGTTATTTCAAAATTATGAGGTTGAAAAAGAACAGAAAATAGGAGCCCTCATGTGGGTTGATTCTGACATGGAATAATGAAGACAACCTGCTCCTGCCACCTTCATTAATTAGCAAGCAGCATTTTCATAGCTGCACCCTGGTTTTGGAAGCTGAAATCCAGTCAGGTAAGACCCATCCATGCTCATCATAATGCATTAAACACTAGGCCAGAAGCTCAGTGGTACAATTACAACACACTCCTTCAAATAGGGCCACCCCAGGAGAAGACAGCATCCCAAGCCCTTGTACTTTGGCAGTTCTTTCTTTGGTCCAAGCACTCCTAACAACAGTTTGTGAGGAAACCTGCTTTAGGAAGGACTGGTTCCATCTGCATCATTTTCTTCCTGGCTGGCCTTAAGTTTGGACAATACAGCGTGAATCCGGAACAGTGTTCGTGACTCCATTGAATAATTTTTGTAGTTGTTCCTGGTGGGAAAAACACTCAAAAATTGTTATATCCTTTATATCAAACCTGTATGTATTCTGCACACCAAAAATTTATTTCAGGAATCCAGGTATTATCTTCCAGGATAATATTTGATATTTTGTAGATATGACTAAAGTAGATGTCAAAAGGATAGCTAAGCATTCTACCAGGTCAGATAGGGTAGGCACACTCCTAGTTCCTTCCCCAAATATTAACATCTGTTGGGAGCTAGGAATTATTCCTTTTCCCTGGCAGCCCCTGCCCTATGGAGCACCTTGCCTTTTGAAGTTTAGCAGGCCTCCACTCTCTTAGCCTTCTGGCTTTTCCCCCTAGCATTGGGAGAAGATTAGATGATGGCACATTAGCATAGATGGCTGCCAGATTTTTTGTTATTTCTAATATTTTATGTTTTAATTGGTTGAGGTTTATAGTTTTTTAAATGATTTTATTTATTTATTTTCATTTTTGATTGGGGGCTACCCAGATATAGTAAAAAACGGGCAGCTATATAAATGTTTAAATAAATAAATGTCTAGATCAGATGAATATGATCCAATAAAAAGAAATGCATTGAACAAGCCTATGAAATACATCATTGCTTATTCAATTACTAGTCAAGTGGTTTGACTCAGAGTAACTAAGCTGAGAACCTGCTAGTTCTTAGACCTACTTAGAATTACAAAGAACTTGGGCAACAGAGGAAAACATAATTCATGGCTGGCAAACACCTTTTGACCCTTCTCTCTATGAGATTATAAAACTGTCTCAAATGCTGTTAAACTGTGAAGTAGTGCTATCTTCTAGGGCAAAATATTATGAGATATGCTGAACTTACTTGGCTGTGCGAAGCAACTGTACAGCCTCTTCATTTTGACCTTGTGCCACATACAGCAGACTCAGTTCCAATAGTGCATTGGGTACCAGGTAATGATCATACCTGATCTTCTTCTTACTGTAAGCAGATAGATAGTCATGCATCCTGTTTTCCTGGAAGCTTTCCAGGGTTTGTTGTGGTGCAGCTTTCCCTGATCTAAGACCTCCAGATATGTTGGAATTAAGTTCCCAGAACAGTCAACAATGCCTCACACTCCCATCACTCCCCAATTTTTTCCCAAATTTTTCAATTTTTTTTTTATCAAAGAGACCTGCATCATACCTGCTATGGACAGCGTTGAAGCACGCCTCAGCCTGAGCCAAACTGTGCAAATGCTTGAAGACTAGGCCTTTGAGAAGTAACACGAGACACTGATCATCTACCTGGTACTCACTGGCTGAGGAAATTGTGGAAAGAGAAATGGAAAGAGCAGAAGAAAAATTAACCAGGCTAAGCAGTTATTGAATATTCTACTTTGCAGAAAGGTTGAATGGCAATATTTCCATTCACATTATTTGTGTAGCAGGTAGCTTACTCGGTCTGCTTGTATGGGTAAAAATGGAGCCCATACCTCTCCCTGCACATTTATAACAGCTTGTTTGTGATGCCAAAGAGCTAAACTACAAAAACAGATTCCCCTTCCAAAATGTGCAAGGAAATGTTTATTATTTTTAAAGATCAGATGATTATCTCACCTTTCCCCCAGGACTTTAAATTCATATATAAAACAGAATTATAGAACTGGATGGGTCCATAAACATTATCTAGTTGATTCTTCTGTACAATGCAGGAATAATGCACTGCCCTCCAATTTTTCCCTACAACAGTCCAATGGAGCAGGCTGGTCTGAGAGACTGACCTAAAGTCAGCCAAGCCAATTCAACCTTATTTTCAGGGACAAAGTATCTGCTAAACTACGTCTTACGAAAAACATCATCTTAACATTTACTGTCTTGTATTTAAGCTAACAGTTCTTATTATATCAACTCAGTAAAAACATCATTATTACATTTATCAATAAATTTTAGCTTATACATATCTTAATTATTTTTTACATTCAGTCTTCATAAACAATCTATATCCTGTTATTAATTTTTCCCAATTTTTAGTTTCCCATTAATATTCCAATTTAACCTTTAATATTTATAATTTTCGGGCTTTAGGTAACCAAGATTTCTCTTATCTCAATTCATAACAGAATCTAATATCCAAAATACACATTTTATCTATTTGAATATAATCTTGTTCTATTTCCTAAAAGTTATCTATTTCCCACCATATTAAATCACCTACTTAATAATACAATATCCCCTTTAATAAATCAAAACCATTATATATATATTACCTGGGTTAATCAATAAATCAAACATATTCATAATAATTATTATTTTTCTTTTAGGTCTAATTTTTAAATATTAAAATCCTTATTTTCAACTAATTTCCAAATATTTTAAATCTAATGACCAGAATTCCCCTTACCTCAACTTCTCCCTTTAACCCTCTAATTCAGTGGTTCTCAACCTGTGGGTCGGGACCCCATTTGGGGTCGAATGACCATTTCACGGGGGTCGCCAAACAAGGCTGTCCGCCATTTTTTCCCCCTTTTCTTTGGCCATGCCCCTGGCACCCGGTGATGTATAAGTGGTTGGGGGGTCACCACAACAAGGGGAACCGTATTATGGGGTTGCGGCATTACAAAGGTTGAGAACCACTGCTCTAATTAATAATATGAAATCCCCTCTAACAAATCAAACCCCCAATTATCTTCAGCCTTATTCTGGCTTTCTTCCTTTGCCAACTAGGTTTCCATATCAGTGCTTTTAAATCATCAAATAGATCTCCCAATATTATTATATATGTTATTTGAAATAAAGGAGACCATTTTTTTAAAGGACTAGCCCATTTGTATTCATTAAGTTGTCTCCCTATTATTCCAATTGCCCATGGTTGCCCTGATATGTTTATCTTCCATTCAATCTGTTCTTCTTCTTTCTCAAATTTCTTTTGATTTATATAGAAAGTATTTTCCATTTTCAGTGTTGTCACTCCCTTTTCTGGATTTTCCATTAACTGTATTTGTTGGTCAATTGAATCCTCTGTCTTAATATTTGATTGTTCCACTTCTGTTATCTTCTGCATTGTTAGTTCTTTGGTTGTAGTCAAAGTTTGGGTTTGTGTATCTAAGCTGGCATCTTGATCTTTTATGTTAGGTCTTATTTTATCACAGGCTGAAATAATGGTTTCATGTATTGCTTTCAACATGGAAATGATCTTTTCCTGGTCTTCATCCATCTCTTTCATGTGTTTATAAATAGTCTTTATAGTAGAAATCATTTGTCAAGCAAGATTTTATAGTCCAAGATATTTCATCATCTCATATAGTAACCAATATTCCTCAAATAAAGAGATAGAAAGGCAATTCCCCACATAAAACTCTGAAAGTCAGTAAAGGTTTACATTCACAGTTCAAGTAGGCCAGTTATGCTGCCCAGCTGTTCTCTTACAGCTGAGTTTCTCACAGGTGGTGCCAAAGTCAGAAGAGTTTTATCTAAAGTCTGGGCTTCGAGCCAAGACTCTTTTAGGAAATAACAAGTTGTAATACCAAACTTTGCCACAACATGTCACCTATGCCGCTTAAAGTTTTTTAAGTCCAAAATTTTTATAATCCTTTTTCCAACTTTTTTTTTTTTTTTTTTTTTTGCAGATAAAAGCAAATGTCTCCAATAAAAATAGGAAAATTTTTGGTCCCCAAGTTTCAGGAACATATAAATCCAATTAGATTAAAGTTGTTCTTTTAGTGCTTTAATTCCCCTGGGTAGTCAGTCGCTGCTATTCTTAGAGGGTGAGATAGAAATTCCCTTCCCTCTCTCTTCACAGGGGGAAAGATACTTCAGGCAGCTTTTACAGAAAAAGTACTTAGGGTAAAATAAAAATTGGATCTCATCCAGTTTCATCCACGTTGCTTTCAAAGTGCTTGGTGGTAAGTTTGACCGGCTGTCTGCAGCCTAGTGACGGGCCATATTACTATGTCCGGTCTTTCCTCTACCCATTTGGAGGGCTGCCCTGGATCGAGCAGGAGGGCTGCCGCCCTCCCGTGATCAAGCAGGGGTCTCCTCCTTGCTCGTCGCCCATTTCGACCCTTTCCAGGGTCCCCCAGCGGAGGGAAACCAAACGCAGAAGACAGAGCTCGCCTTCTAGCATCCATGCAGCCACAATGGCAAACCAGAAGTCCTCCAGTTAAAACATTTATGGATCAGAATGCAACCCACCATTTATTCCAGATGTTTCCTATAGAGTGATTCTTTTCCTAAACATGGGTTTCAGTTGTTTACTATTTCTTTTTTTCTAAGAAAGCATGTAGAACCTGGCTGTAAACCAGAGTCATTTTTGGAGATAAAGATTATGCCAATGTTTTTGCAGCTTGCTGGTTTCTGTATTTAAATTGAAAGATGAGATGGGTCAGGGAGCGTGATGTCTCTGTTGCTAACCTGGGGAATCCCTGTCTGTGGATATCAACTTTGGTCTATGTGTAGAAAGAAAGCGTGCTACCTGGTGCTTCTTGTAGCTTCTTCTCAGCCTGTATCAGAGTGTCTAAAGTTCCTTCCAACAACTCTTGCTGCTTGCCCAGCACTGTAAATCCATTCCACATGTACATCATTTCCTGAAAAAAAGATAAAATCAATACAGAAAGTGAAAGAAATGAAAAGAAAGGACTAGGTGAAAAGAAGGACTAGGGGGTAACATGATAGCAGTGTTCCAATATTTGAGGGGCTCTCACAAAGAAGAAGGGGGTCCACCTATTTTCCAAAGCAACAGAAGACAAGACAATGGCACCCCCGCCCTGCCTCGCCTCGTCTTGCCTCGCCTCACCCCGCAGGATGTGCCTCCTGTCCACCACCCCACCTACCAGAGACCCCCTAGATCTCCCCCAACCCTGCCCAGCCCCCACAGGTGTCTCTCCCCACGAGCAACGTAGAAGTGACCATGCCCACCTTGGCCACACCCATCCAGTCTGTCATGACCACTATAGCCATGCCTACCCAGTGGGCCACACCCACCTGGCACCTGTCAATAAATAAGTGGGTTTTGGGTTGCAGTTTGGGCACTAAAAGGTATAGGATCTCCTGCTTGAGCAGGGTTGGATTAGAAGACCTCCAAGGTCTCTGTTATTCTGTTACTGAGAATTGTGGCAGCAGCTATAAATGGAGGAGGCATATTTTGTTATTCTACACCAGGGAAGAACCAGTTTGGCATAGTGGTGAAGGCACCAGGCTTGAAACTAGGAGACTATGAGTTCTAGTTCTACCTAAGACATGAAACTAAGTGACCTTGGGTCAGTCACTTTCTCTCTCTCAGCCTTAGGAAGGAAGCAATGGAAAACTTGCAAGGACGTGACCAGGTAGTCACCAGGAGTCAACACTGCTTTGAAGGCACAACATGGAACCAAAAATTTCATTCCTGAGCTCCTCAACATATGAGCCAAACTAAACTGTATGCTCAGAATGCTTACACATTGTTTAAGATTACTAATTTTATTTTGAAAGAATCAGTTGGTAGAGGATCCACAAACAAGACCCCACAACAGTCCCCTATTAATTTCCACTTTAAACTACTATCTGCCTTCAAAAGACGGTGACTGCATTCCCCTGCACCTTTACCACCAGTTATGGACATTTTTAGCAGGACACAAACCTAATTCCTTCCTTTAAGGGTGTTATTAGTTTTAAACTGACTTGGATCTTTATCTTCTGAGTCAGAAATCCAGGTTCACTGATAATTAGTGTATTAGTATTAAAGTAAAGCTCCCCCCCTTGCTGATTCTAAAGATTTCTTGGGTCACAGTTATACAGTTTCTGAACTGTATAACTGTGACCGGGCTGAAATTAAGCTCTGTGCATCCAAAAGGCAGGAAACTCAATCTAATGTGTCAAATGTGCTTTACTCCTGTAATTCTGTACTCTTTTTTAAAAAAAATCTTATTATAATTTTATTGAGATTAGTTCTTCACCTATAGATACAATGCTAGATGGGAAAGAGTAAGAAGTTGATTTCTGTTTGTTCTGTAAAAATCCTGCCATTTGGAGCACTCATATCCATTGTTGGTAGACAAATCTCAATTAACTAGAATCACAATAGATCTTAGCATCTTGTTTCTTGTTATATTACAGTTTTGCCAGGCAAAAATATGAAAAAAAAACATTTCTTTTGTATATATGCATCTGGTACATGAAATAAATACACACACACACACACACACACACACACACACACACACACACACACACAATATATACACAAATGGGAGAATGTGCCCATGAGTATGTTTCTCAATTGTGTATGTGTACAGTGTGCAAATAGGCTTGCCAGATAATTTAGGAAGAACATCCATTCCAGTTTTCACTTTTGACCTGCAGTTCATGGATCAAATATAAAGACTTTCAGCTTGGCATAACTATGAAGAAATATTCTCCTCCTTTGAGACTGTGTGCTGCAAAATAGTAGAGATCCACTTTCTATCCTTACCAGGGCTGGCACAGGTAAGGGAACCAGTTCACTCGATTTGTAGCGCCTTGCTTTGCGAATGGCAAATTTCTCTGTGGGTGGTGATTTCCCAGCAATTCTTTGTTTGAAGGAGGAAACCTGCCTGTAGAATAAAAGCATGGAAATTACTGAAGTTTCACAAAGGCAGATATGTGGAAATTAAAAATTCTAAGGAAGTTTAGAAAGAGTTTAATCCAGTTCTGCCACATCAGACTTTAAATCACAGTTTTCAGTCCTTTACATGATTATGCTTTTGCCTTTTAACAACATTAGTTCACAAAGAATTCATTCATTGACTGCGCAAAACTTTCTGTAGCAAAGCCATTGTAAATCTGCAGATTCCTAACCTTGGGAATTTGCAGTCAGTTTTACCATTGAAACAAGAGAAAACTCTTTAGATCTGGTTGGGAAATTTTGAGAGTTGAAGTCCACACATCTTAGAGTTCCTCAGGCTGAGAAACCATTTTTCAGAACATTCATCCTAAATTGCCCCCAACTTTCAAAAACTCTTACCTGAAAAGTTCAACCTCTACTTCACCAAAAGGCCGTGGCTCATTAGCAGGCAGCATGCTAAGGAAGGCAGCTTTCATGTACACATACATTGCCTGCAACAAAGCAACGAAGTAAAACATTACAGGATTCTGACAGGGGCTAACTTATTTATGTACTTATTTAAAACATTTATATAGCTGCCCGTCTTATGCCAAACTCTGGGTGGCTCCCAAGAATTAAAACAACATAAAAACCTGTGCTCATCTTATCTGGCATCCTTCTTTCTCAGCTGCCAGGATTGTTTTGTTACCCCTACAATAATGACCAGACTAAGAAACCAATGCCAAAAAGATGGACTACTTTTATTGTAATAGTCATAGTAATGGAATCTTGCAAGTATGAATGTACTCCCCACCCTCCTTTATCTTCGTGTGAACTACTAGGGAACTGAGACATTTGCTGAAATTAGCTTCTTGGCCTGGGCTCAAGCCCTATTTATCTGACCGCTGTCTTGGTAGCAGCTCTTCTTAGTTGGTAAAATATGACTGAGATACAAGGTAGTGAACAGGGGATAACCACAGATAATACAGTTGTAAACGCTGTGACAAACCGAACTGAAGCCATTTTCATTTTATCTTTTTTTTAATATATTTTATTATTTTTTTACAATAACAATCTTTAATGCTTCATGAACAGTGTGTTGTCTGGGTTCATATACTCAAAACAATCAATAACAATTAATTTCCCCGATTAATCAATATGTTAGTTGGTAATATATTTCTTGATCCTCTCTTCTTCCAATAATAATCTCTTTTTGTCTACATTAAACAAATATTTCTTAATCTTTTCAGTACAAACCAAGTTGAATATAAACATTTTTGTATTTATGCATATGATAACATCAACATATAACATATTTTCTAATCAGCTTGTTTCCATTATATTTATAAAACTCATCTTATTAAGTCATTATATGTCCTATTTTCAAACTTTTTATTAAAGCTTAGTTTCCCCTCAGTATTCAGACCACTCTTATCAGTCATACTTTTCTCAAAATTCATTACCTTTAAATATCCAAACTTTTCATTTAAATACATCATCTCAATGTTTTAACATTTCATATATTCTAGAAATATTATACTATATATATAATATATATATATATTATTTCTCTTAGTATAGGGCCCCTTTACAAATTTTATCTATTGTTTTGGCTGTATTCCAACAATATTTAATCTTATACTACACCATCTAATAATCTTACTTTAGGGCCTCTTTATATCCAACACTCACTCTGATGATGCTGGCAGTGGACCAGCGAAAGCTAAGGTTGTTTTTAGTATTGTAAATAGTTGTTTTTATTGTTTTATTTTATAACAATAAACAGCTGGTTTATATCCTTCCCAGAGTTCGAGGATTTTATATCATTGTATAAATATGCCTGGGATTCATATTTTTTATAGTTATGAGGGGCATATATGTATGTGAACGGGATGACAGATGCCATCCCCAATCCAGGCAAAGTTCCAGTTCCATAGCTGGGGCCTGAGCTGCCTCTCCACAACCAAAGCCACCAGCGTTAACTTCAAGTCCAGTGTGGAAGCGAAGCCCAGACCGCATGATAGCCCTGACCATCATCAATGGCTGGTTAGCCCTGATTGCCATCAACACTATGCTAGTCCTGACCATCGACATCGGTATATCAGCCCCAATCAGTACCAACGCTATGAGAGTCTTGACCGGTACCCACGCCAGACCAGCCCTGAACACTATCGACATAGAGCAAGCACCGATCGCTGCCAATATTCGGATAGCCCTGATAGATATCCATGTTAGGCTTGTCCAGATCGATATCACTACCAGGCCAGGACCAGGCCAGACAGTTGTTGCAGACTTAGTCCCGAGCGGCACCCCTAGTGACTCAGTCCCAGAAGTCACCGGTGCCACACCAGGCCAGGACCCCTGCCAAGAGTTGATCAAGCAACGGGACTCCCATGTGATCAATTTCAACAGTATGGATTGCTACAGGCTCTCTTAGATCAGCAACGACCCGTAGCAGCCCTCCTTTCAAGCCTACATTCGAAGATGACCCCAAGAAGTTAACTTTCTTTTTGAATTAAATATGCTCCAACATCTATCCAGACCATGCCACTATGGTCGATATGATAGAGGCAAACCTAGAGGGGGAGGCAGCGGAATGGTTGAACAGTTTGTACAACGAAAAAGCACCTGAGCTATGGGACTACAATCTATTCATCCAGGGGTTAAGAACCAGATTCAAAGATGGTTCCATAGCACTGCAAGCTGAGAAGGACATTTATAAAGTGAAACAGACAGGTCAGCCAGCAAAGGAATACATTCGTGAATTCCGGAGAGTGGCTGGGAAAATTGTGCAGTGGCCTGAATGATCGCTGGTTCATCACTTCAAGAACAGTCTGGACCCAGACCTATTCCTGGCATGCATTTACAGGGGGATCCCTGACCAACTCCAAGAGTGGTATCGCTTAGCTGTGAATTTAGACATCAAGCTGAACCACTACAAAAAGCCACCAATTGCTGGACCTGGGCCGAGACCTGACCCAACAAGACGTCAACTTCCCCGATGAACCCCACCAACTGGAATGATTGGGACTCCAAGGATGTCAACTGGACCATCATTCAAGTGCTTTCGATGTGGCCAGTCAGGCCACCAAGCTGCTGTTTGTCCAGTTCCTTTCCCTCAGCAAAAAAACGCTTCAAGTATGCCAGAGAAACAAAAAAGAAGCTCGCAGCCTACCAAAGAAAAATCAAGCTGGATTAACCAGGAGCAAGCCACTCAAGTCACCTCCCCTACTCAAGAGACGGCCAAGGCCCCGACTGAAGCTGTCACTTCACCTGCTCCATATGACAGCAATGATGAGGGAGAAAATGACCCAATGGTGAGCCAAAGTGTTCCACCTTTTTTCCTCTCCGCTAAGTTCATAGTCTTTAAGGCAGGCACCCAAGTGGACTTACATGTATTAGTAACCTCTGGGTGCTCACAATGCCTGATCAACTGTCTTCAAATTAGGCATCAGAGCGAAAAAGCTTTCATCCCCCATGAGATTTGAACAGGCAGATGGATCCTTAATGGGCAGAGTTTTAGCCACCCACCTAATGGATCCTGTATGACTAGAAGTGGGGGAGCATTGGGAGTTTATTCGATTCATGGTGGCCCAAAAAATGACTGAGATAGTGATTTTGGGATTAGCTTGGCTAGACATGTTGAAACCTCTAATATGGTGGGAGAAGGGGATGAGAACCCTGAGATTACCCATAGGACTGTCACCAATGGAATCTCAACACAGCTATCCAAAACTCTAAGAATGCAGCAGACCCTCTATCAGGAGTGCCTCTGAGATTTGGCTGAAGTGTTCAGTGAGACGGAATGTGACATCCTACCCCCCCCCATAGAACCACTGATTGTGCTATTGAGATCCTGCCCGAAGCAAAATTGCCAAAACTGAAGTTGTATGCAATGACCCCTCTCGAGGTAAATGAACTGCGAGAGCACATAGATAAAAATTTGGAGAGGGGTTTCATTGAACCCACAAAATCCCAAGTGACCACCCTGTATTGTTTAAGGAAAAAAAAGATGGATGCCTTAGAGTCTGGATTGATTTTAAAGGTCTGAACACAGTCAGCGTAGAAAATATGTACCCTCTCCCTTTAATGAAGGACATGTTAGCCCACCTGGTGAAAGGGCAAGTATTCCTGCTGTATTCATGCAACTGATCAACCAGGTGGCGCACGATCATTTGTATAAAGGAATTTTGGTTTATCTTGATGACATCTTAATCTATTCAGACTATGGGAGAACAAAAGATTTTAGTACAAGAAGTGCTCAAAAAACTGCTGAACACAAAACTCTATATGCAAAACTCTCAAAATGCGAATTCCATCAGGCATTTGGATTATCTGGGTTACAGAATTTCCAGCAAAGGAATAGAAATAGACCCAGCTAAAGTGAAAGCTGTAATTGAATGGCAGCCCCCACGAACTCAAAAACAACTTCAGAGCTTTCTAAGATTTGCTAATTTCTACCGCCAATTTATCCCCTCATTTGCTGAGATTGCTTTGCCCATCACTGAACTGTTAAAAACTGGCAAAAATGGGGGTAAACCACAACCAGGCGAACCCCTACGCTGGTCGTTAGAGTGCCAGACTGCTTTTAAGAACTTAAAAAGACTGTTTGCCACCGAACCAGTTCTCAAACCCCCTCATCCTGAAGAGCAGTTTATCAATCAAGCTGATGCCACTGATGTGGCTGAGGGGGCAGTCCTATTACAAAAAAAAACCCGAAAGGAGAATTACAATCCTGCGCTTACCTTTCGAAAAAACTCACTGACACAGAACGGAGATGGGGTATCTGGGAGAAAGAAACTTTTGCAATTGAATGGATTTATTGACTTGGTGTCATTTTCTAGAGGGGAACAAGGTGCCTTTTGAAGTTTGGACTGATCACAAGAACTTGAAAGCACTGAAAACTCCCCGCAAACTCTCTCCCAAATAAGTTCACTGGGTGCAATATTTTAACTATTTTATCTTTACCCTGAAATATATACCAAGAGGAAAAAAAATTGGCTAACGCCCTCTCTAGGTTACCTCAATATAAAAGCCAATGCAAAGTAATTATAAACCCTATTATACCATCATCACTAGTTATTTCTCAGATAAACCCTGGAAAACAACAACATGTGAAGTGACTTAATCCAAGTGACCTATTAATAGAGAAATTAAAACAAGAACTAAAAATGATCAATGGTTCAAGGAGAATCAAACCATCTTGACCCATAGGGATGGATTGGCTTGGAAAGGGTGGAAATTATATTTGTCTGAACCGCTCAGGCTCCAAGTGCTCCAGTGCAGCCACGATGTTAAGCAAGCTGGTCACTTTGGTTATTTAAAGACATTATACTTAATTCGGAGGCAATTTTGGTGGCCAGGCTTAAAGAAAGATGTGGAGAACTATGTAAAAAGTTGTGCAGGCTGTGCTACCATGAAGAGGATCCCAGGAAAGCCTCCTGGACTATTACAGCCTGTTGCAGATCCTTCTTAACCATGGGAAGAGATCACTATGGATTTTATTGTTGAATTACTGGAGAGTAATATGGCCTGTGATTGATCTTTTTTCAAAGCAAGCTCACTTCATAGCATGCTCAGGCCTCCCCTCTGCCCAGAAACTAGCCAAATTGTTTCTCAAGCATATTTACCAGTTACACAGTGCACCAAAATGGATAATTTCTGACAGGGGAGTTCAATTTACAGCCAGATTCTGGAGAGATTTCCTCAAACTGGTTGGTTCTACACGAGGACTTGTCATCGGCTTTTCATCCCTCTACGAATGGAGCGGCTGAAAAAGCGAATGCAATGGTGGAGCAATATCTTAGATGCTATGTGGATTACCAGCAGACAAATTGAACTGATCTCCTCCCTTTCGCTGAAGTGGCTTATAACAATATTGTACACAGCAGCACCAAACTTATGCCATTTAAGATAGCCACTAGAAGGAATTTTATTCTGATGCCTGAATACCCCCAGGAACTCCCTGCTTCTCAAACATTAGATCAGTGGGTGTCTACTTGGAGGGGTATTTGGAACAATACAAAGAAAGCTTTGACAAAAGCCTCAGAGGTTTACAAAAAGCAAGCAGATAAGAAAAGAGTGCCTCAGAGGTCGTTCCACATGGGGGGGGGGAGTTTATATTTCTACAAAGTATCTCAGACTTAAGTTATCTACCAAAAAATTGGGACCGAAATACCTGGGACTATTTCCCATAGTGCAGATTTTAAACCCGGTTACCGTAGAATTAAAACTCTCTCATCTTTTAGGAAAGATCCACCCAGTGTTTCACTGCAGTCTGTTAAAGCCTTTTAGAGAGTTGACTCTGAGACCCCCTCCCAAGAAAGCACCTGGACTGCTTGTGGTGGCTGGAGAGATTCATTACGAAGTAAAGCATATTCTTGATGCTAGATTATACAAGGGGAAATTGCAATATTTAGTGCAGTGGAAGGGATATCCGTTGTCAGAAGCCACCTGGGTGAAAAGTACTGATGTGAAAGCTGACAGATTGATACACAAATTCTATGATAAACACCCAAGTAAACCAAGAGGGGATTCTTAACTGTTATCCTTGTTTGATTTGCAGGATTTCTCTTTTAAGGGGAGCCGAATGTCAATGCTGTGACAAACCGAACTGAAGCCATTTTCATTTTGTCTTTGTTGCCACATATTTAGTTAGAAGAAGTGGGGGGGGGTGTAGTTTTCAGTTAGCCAAAACATTTCACATATACGGGAACCAAGATCACTGCTGATAACATTTTGGCGGGCTGGAGCAGCTGGGAGAAGTGCCCACATTTTCAAACAATTGGTGAATGTGATTTATGATAGCAATTTGGGGTGGGAAATGAAACTTGCAAATTTGTAACCAAGGGGAGGGGAATTTAGTCTTGGGTTCACCCTTGTATGTGCCATGTTGTAGCCAAATAAAAATATTCTTTAAGGAAGAAATGCTTGCCTTGAAGTTCTTTTAAATGGTCTTATCTATCGGAATCATGACAACAGTCTTCTATGAATTGTTCAGTCCTATTTTAAAACTATTTAAATTAATGGTCATTACCATATCTCATGGGAGCACATGGCATAGTTTAACAATATGTTGTATAACTAAACACTATACTTTTCAGCCCTGAATCTCTTTTCATTTCAATGAGTAATCCAAACTTATGATATTGTAAAATAGGGGAAAATCAGCCATATTTTCTATCTCAAGGCAATTTAATATTCTCTTCATGCTTATTTTTACTCACTTCCACTTCAAAGTAAAAAATCCTAAATACTCCTCTCTAATCTTCTAAATATTTTGCTTGCTCTTTTAAAAAAAAATCTTTACAATATTTTCTTTAAGGTATAATAACCAGAACCATACATAATGTTCATAGTATAATCTCACCATCTGTCATAATACTGTAATTATATTGACATTTTTATATTTAATTCCCTTCCAATGAATCAGCATAGAATTTGTGCATTCTCTCTTTTTATAACAGTTGTATTGAGCCATCCACTATGATCCCATAGCTCCATTCATGAATAATTGATGCTAGCTCTAATCCTATTAATAGATTAAAGGTAGTATGAATCCTCAGCACTAAGGTTATGGTACATCACTTCTGAAAGTGTGAACACACACTTGACTTTGATAATCCAGCTCCATATTCTTCCTCAAATGCTAGGCTTCAAAACTGGGAGAATTGGTGCTGAGTCACTAAAGGTGGAATCAACAGAAAAGAGCCAACAAATTCCCAAGGTTTCAATGGCCTTGATGTACTTTGCCTTTTTTTTTTTAAGGAAGAGGTTATCAGTTTCCACAATTTGGTATACTGTTTGAATATTTTACTCAAATACACCTGGGTTGCTCTTTAATTGCTGAACACCTTTCTAACCTTAGACCAGCGGTTCTCCTTGCTCAGCAGATCTGCGTAGAAGTACGCCATCTTCCACATTCCTTTGTAGGCAAAGCACCACATCAGTTCCCAGTAGCACATATGATGAAACTGCTTCCAAGCTTGTTGTGCTGAGCAGCCTTCTTCAAATTTCTTGATGGCCTGTCCAGGGAGGGAAAAGTCAAAAGGAAAGTTGTAAAAGGGTTAGCATTTTTACTGGCAAGGAGGAGACAGGGTTCATACAATACTGGAGGTAAGCTTCAATTCAAAAATCATAGCTTTCTTTTTAAAAATAAGCAATCACAAAGCAATGAGGGCTAGACATTTGTTAAAATAGGTTTGAAAATTGGGATATTATGATAATTCAGAAACAATACCCAGTGATTGTCTATGTGCCATTACTCTTAATTTAGAGCTGAAATAATCAGATGAAAATTTATCTTTGATGAACAGTAATTGAGATATGTAGGACACAAAATTAAGTGCTTTATTCTGAACTTCCTGTGTCACTACCTTCTTCATCTTCCATCTCAGCAAGTAGTGGGTCTGGGTATAGGAGGTACTAAGACCACGATGGTCATCATGGAAGGCAGAAGCTTAAAACACTAATATATCAGACCTAAAAATAATTAGTAGGATGATTCAGGCATATTGTCAGATCTGCCATCTTCAGCTTAGTGCTTTGCTTGCATCTGCCATGAATTGTTAGGGAGATGGAGGGAAGAGGAAATAGGCAATTGGCATGCACAGGGTAGAGATGAGTCAAAGGGGGAGGGGGATTGATGGAATCCAGAGGTGTGAGAGCCAGCCTGTTCCATTCTTCAAGGCCACAGAGCCTGGAACAGGAATGTGAATTGCACCAATGGCACCAAACATCCAAGGGGTTCCCAAACACCTAAGTGGCATGCCATTGGATGAAGCCAAACTGGCCAAAGGGGGACGGCTGGGGAAAAGCGGAAAGTCTGTACTTTTTGCACAGGAAGCCTTACTTCTAGCCTGCTTTAGCTGCAACCAGTAATCCTTAGTAAATGTATCACTTCAACCAAATGCAGTCGAGGATCTTTCCTTCCTAGGGACTTAGCTGAGGCATTCCTGACACATACTCTCCATGATGGTGGAAGACATACTGGTTAGATTCCTGTTCTGATCATACTAAAGCACCTCACCTCATTGATGTTCCCTTTGATTTCCTCTATCCTCCCAGCAAAGAACAAGAAAATGGCACTCTGCAAAATTAAAGAAAAGGATACTCAGGTATGGGGAAACAGCTGTAAGCAATATGACAGAACCTATGTTGATCCACTCTATCCCTCCCACATTATCCATCCAAAGCCATCTTTACTGGGATAAGAAACCGTATCAAAGGTGAGAGCAAAAAAAACTAGCTGGAGTCCCAGAGTCCTCATGGGGTATATACCTCATAATGGAGAAAGATAACTTCAGAAATTTCTACACCACTTTGGATAGATTAGTCCCACTTTTATCAACCCCCCCCCCGAACATTCTGAAGCTGAGTTTTTACTGCATCAATCGGTGTTTAACCAAACTACCTGCTATATCAAATTAACAGATTTTGCTTTATTCTAAAGGAATGCCTTTTAAGCGCTGCTAGACAGAAGATAAGAGTTTTGAGTTCACACATACCACATTTTTTTAATGAAGCTCTAAATGTAAAGTGGCTGTTGGATCTTCAAAAAGCTCTCTTATATTAAAAAGTGACATCATTTTCAAAAACAAAACCAAGAGTGAAGAAAACTGAAACATTCAGGGCCTTTCAGAAATCTAAAGAAGTCTAAGATACTTTCAGCTTTTGAGGCCCTTTACCATAAGAAAAATTTAAAAACCTGGAAACAAAGTGAAGCACCCAAAGAGAGAAATATTATTTGATTATCTTTAGCAAAAGAAAATAAATATGAATCTAAATCTAAGTTTCCCTTTGAGCTCAAGGCTCAGGTTAAGAGTCCCAAACACCTCTCCACTGTAGTGCAGCCCACCCCATCGGCCTCCTAGATGCAAAACGTAAACACATCGTGCCTTCCCCCACATCTAGCTCTGTTGCAGCCCAAAAATTTCCTTACAGCTTCCAAGTAGGGAAAGAAAAATCTAACTGATCCTTCAGTTAGACACAAACACAAAGTGAGTGACCTCAAGGACATGGCAGTCATTCCGATACCATTTTACCTGCGGATAGCGGGAGAGGTATGGCTTTAGTAGGGCCTCAGCCTCTGTGAAATCATCTTCACCAATCCCTGGGGACAACACAGAGAGATAAAGGTGCATAGCATGAGTAAGAATAAGACAATTATAAGTTCATGTCTCCCAGAGAGACCTTGAAATATCCTATTAGAGACTGAAGATATTGTTATGTAAAATAAGTAAGCCATACATTATGGTTATCCCTGAAAATATTGCTTTTCCCAGTTGGGTCAGGTAGCCAATCCTGAAGATTTCTGCTATATTTCTGATCTACAAGTCCTTAAAATTGAAATGTTTCAGTCCCATTTCCTAGTTTTCTCTCAACCTCTTAAACAATCAGCCAGAGAAACAACAGTTTGTCACTATTTGCACTGAAGCCCTCTTGTCATTAAACTTGAGGAAGGTAGCCCCCTTTTCTGAACTGATTAATAAACATTTATAAAAACTCATTTCATGCGTTTCTGAATTCCAATTATCTCAGTAAGTCTTAATGTGAATCATACTGGACAGGGCAACATAGTTATACTACTGTATATGTAAGAACAAAAGCCCACTTGCTTTCTTGCAGAAATCATCTCACTATGACTGAAGGAATGCTAAGCAGTCTTATACATATTAGATTAGGCCAGCTTTCTTCTTTTTAGTTCAACCATGACTATGCCAATGCCTTCCATTAGAACTTATTTTAGTTAATTGCAGAAAAAGGTGTATATATCCCCATTAACTGACCTTAATCAAAATAAGAAAGCCACCCCCCACCCAAAGCAGCATCTATTGGGAGAAAGAGACCCAGTTCCTTGATCATGCTACTGCCACATCACCAATGCTTCTCTCCGGTGGAGGGACTCACCTACCTAAAATGAAGGTAAGGAAAGTGTAGTAGCAGAGAAGCAACATTGTACAAAGTAGAGCCCGCAAGTTGGGTGTGGTGGCTCCCTGATGTAGTTTTTGCAAACCATAATCCTGAATGGAAATTAGAAATAATATTCAGAAAACAGAGAATCCAGGGAAAGAAATATAGAGAAGAAATATTGTATTCATTTGCAGATAAATTCAGCAAAGGTGAGAAAAAAAATTCCCCAGATACAGAAAAATATTCTGGATAGGCGCACTGGTTTTAGTGACCTTTATGGGATTTCAAATTGATCATATGGAGGAACCTGGCAATTAGTGCCCTCACCCCACTGCCAGAAGAGTGAAATGCATCTCTGAGTTCATACATAATATTAAGTTATAAAGTAGTCTGGCTTTGTTTTGGATTAGCATGGCATTCATATTCATCCAATTTAATTATGTTACAAATTACATCTTACTAGTGGTTCAATGAACCATGAATTTAAAACTTCCAAGCTAAGTGTTACATATGCAGGTGTGTCAAACTGCCGGCCCATGGGCTGGTTGCATCATGCAGAGGCCACATCCACCCCAACTCTGGCAATGCAAAAAAAGTCACGATACGTCGCGACACGTCACATGATGTGGTGAGTTTGACACCCGTGATCTAAAGTATTGGGAAGACACCACACCAGGGAAACCCAGAGAAGTCAGTTTTTGAAGGATTTGATTACTGATCTAAGTGTACCAGTGTCCTCTCACAAAACAGTTATACATCACCATATACATTCTGCAAGCCCAAATAATGCATCCATAGCCTTCAAACTGGCACTTGTACCTTGTCCCCCGAAAACCCAGCAAATTCCAGAAGTCTCAAAATCCGGGGTGGAAAGAGAGAGAGAGTCTGTGGAAGACACACAACATAAAAGATAACAGAGGCAGGACTATGTAAGGACTTCCCAAATCTTCTATTTCCTTTAAAGTATTTTTTAATAGGATCAACTCTGAACCATTTGTTGACATTGTCCACTACAAAGCCCTCCACATCCTCTTCCCCACAGTTTTCTTCCATTGGCATCGTCTTTTCCCAGGAGGGGATTCCAGCTTGCTTCTCTCTTAATAGTAAGCACCCATGCTGTATTACTTCAGACTTTCATGCCGTATTACTCAGAGCCTATAAATGCTTCTCCACAGCAACATTTGATTCTACAAATCAAATTCCCCATTCCTGGAATAGTTCCTTGTTGGGCACAATTTTCTCTTCATATAATATGTGTTATTTACTGACCAACTAAATACTTTGTGAGCCACACTATTCTTGGTCAATCAATCTATATCATCAAGGCCTTGGTTTTCCGTATTGGTAGGCTAGCTGCTCTTCCTCCATACAAATCCATCATATCAAACTTATGGAAGTGACCATGGTCAGCATAGATATTATGCTTGTAGAAAAAAGGGTATTTCTAATACCTTTTCACCACTCATTTCTGATATCACATCCCAAATTTTAAAACAGACAGAAAACAAGGAATGAATTTAGCATATGATCAGTGTACCTAAGCCATGACAAAAGATCTGAGATTTAGATTGGCAAGAGCCTCAATGGAGTGGGATTTTGGCCAATGTAGATCCACCAAATGCAATTTTCCATCATTCCAGAAATCCTTTTAGGTATATCAACAACTAAGAGCTACACATTTTCAAAACTAAAAAGCACAAGGCAAAAACTTTATTGAATCATGGGAAAAGAATTAAAAAATGCAGGAATTAATCTACAATAAGAAAGGTTAAAAACAGGCAACCCAATCAACTGTAGTAAATGGCTACTGTACATTATAGTATGCAATACTGTAAACATTCTTCAGTACATCATATGTACTGAGCTCAAGAGTGTAGTCCACCAATGTCAACTCAAAAATTATTTTCATTCTTATAGGGAGCCTGATGGTGTCTAACTTTTTCGTACAATGCATAATTTTATGAACTTCTATCATATCCTGCTTTTTTCAGTTAAGATATCCCATGAAATGTAACCTTTACTCATACGAGAGTTTTTTCAGTCCTTTGAGGTTTTCTTCCTGCCAGACCTGTTGGCTAAGGCTCTCTGATATATGATAGCACAGATAAAGACCTTCTGTGAAAAATAAATTAGAACCAATTATCCCAAACACAGGAATGAAGAAAGGGGAAATAAGAGTGCTGATCTTCAAAGTTTGCATACACTTTTAGCTGGCAATATATTATAATAACCACAATAAGTGTTGTTCTCTCCACATATCTTTCTCAACCTGTACATTTGCAACTATAGAACAGCCTCATAATGCCCAAATGAAAACTAAAGAAATTAATGGATTGTCTCTTGGAGTTCAGTTTCTGTTATAAACATCACTCTATGCCCCTTAAGAAGCTGTGGAAGCATATTCAACTCACCAAATTGAAGGCACCAGTGCCAAGAGCAATCCCCCCCTCCAGATGGATACGAACAGAGTTTGTAGGCAAGGAACTAGGTTGGATGAAAGCATTCAGGTCTCTGTGAAAATAAAAAAAAAGGTTATTCCATTGCCAACTTATCTGCCTGAAACTAAAAAGCAAAACCCAAGAATTCTATTTCATAGACCTTTTTCACTCTAAACCTGGGTTTTGGTCACACAAGGAATTCAATTTATGCCCTAAGACACTCTACTGATGTCCAAATTTCAACTTCTAATCCAGAACAGGATAATGCTTGTCAGGAAGATAAACATATATAGATCAATAAAGATGGAATTGATACCTACCAGTATACCAGCTTTTCAATTACACAAATGAATTCTAATTACTTTGCACTGTTTGCATGAAATTGAAATATATATATATGCCATAGACACAAAAGATAATGCAAGGGATAGTAACTTAGGTTTTTTTGGGGTTTTTTTTTTGTATTACTGCATCTCTGTTCATTTTAGAAAGAATCATTAAAGTCCAAAAAAACTCTTTTTAGTCAGTTTATATATTTTACAGAAGGAAGCAGACATTAAAATAATAAAAAATAATTTGGAAAAATATCCAAAGATGATTGCTTAGAAATCTGGCCATGTTAATTTTAAAGTTATATATAGTTTTTTATTCTGGAAATCATCGGGTAGCATCTAGTGTGCTGCAGGAGCCACATCCCTAGTCTTCTACGAAATTCATTGAATAATTTTGGACTCATTGACCTGACATGCACACCATTAGGATAAAATGGCCCAGGGAGAATCAAAGCCATCATTTCAAATTCAACAGAAAAAAAGCAAGATCTAAAGAAAAACTAGAAATAAATACATATGAATTGATTTAGCAATGTGTGGGCCTGTGACTAAAGTGTCATGCTTTATGTCAGTAGTTTGGTGGTTCCCCTTGATTCTGCCCACTTTGTATGGAACCATCCCCCCTAGTCTGGTTCCTCTTCATCTGCCCCTCAATCCCCTTTTGGCTAGGATGGGGATTGGATAAAAGAATGCCCACAGCCTTTTCCGCTCTTGAGTAAGCAGTTATTCCATCAACATGCAAGAACAAGCACATAACATTAACTAAGTTGTTCCTGATTATAGAAACACTATGGAAAACACAGCTGAAAAACTCAGTTCTTTGGGTTGCTGATTGTTCTTGTTTCTTTGTTGTTCACTGTGCAGTTGACCAGTTGATGTAAATGCACTAGCCAACAGCTAAGAGATATAAAAACAATGCTGCCATCTAGTGGTCCAATAGTCCAATGGTGCATTGGAGGATCAAAAGGTAGCAAAATACTGAAACTGACTTAGCTCATTCTAGATTTAAGGCATGTAATTAAAAGGATTCAACTCTTGTACTTTTGTAGCCTATCACGTGAGAAATTCCTTGGCAGTTGATGCTCCCAGGGAGTTCTGGCTCATTTCTTCTTGTCTTATTTTCTTAGAGTACTTTACAACTTCCTCATTGATTTCCAGAGCTACGCCTCTTTCACAAACTCCAGCTATTCAAAACATAACATCCAGAGATTGCATCATGGTCACTTTCCTCCAGATAACCATCAGAGCAAAGCCAAGAATGACTACATAAACAATATAACTCTTTTCTGCCACCTAGTGGTTGAAAGGTTGTGTAATCAATCCATAATTTAAAACAAATCAGATGTTGATGGAAGAGAAAAAAAGGAAACAGGTGTAACATACAAATGAATTAGGGTATTATACATGATAAGAGGCTTTTAATATGAAGGATTGTGTTGGATGCAGCTGGAATTTTAGTTGAGGGGCTACCAATTTTTGCCATTGGAATGTTATGCCTTAACATGTATGGACAGCAGCAGAGCATGGATCCCTTCTGGATGCATTGTAAGGGTACACTGTGAAGGCACCAAAAGATTGATAGAAGCATGATTTTACTTCTGCTTTAGGATGGGACATATCTTTGTGGCTGCAGACTATGTCTCGTCAATCTACAGAATTTAAATAGAGGGTAAAATTTAAACATTGCAATGCTTCCTCTTACAGAGCTGTCTTGTGCCTTCGGTCACTATCTAAATATGCCTGTCTATGACAAGTGGACCAAAGACTTTCCCATTCCAATATATGGCACGAGGAGCTGGCTTCTCTTTGTCTCAAACTCCTCACTAATGCTCTTTCTCATTCCTACTGTAATTAAACCCCCTTTATTTAGCCAGACCTGCTTTCCCAACTCACCTGTAGATGAGGTAGCTGCTACGCACCTTGATTCCTCCTTTTATGAAATTCACCATGTTTTCATCCTGTAAGAAGCAAAAAATCTCCATGAATAAAACAACCTCAGTTTCTGGTATCATGTATCTAGGCCAGACATGTCAAACACAAGGCCCGAGGGCCAGATGCGGCCCGTGACATGGTTTCATGTGGCCCGCGAAGCCATCCTGGAAACAGTGAGGGAACGGCCCCCGCTGTCTTGGCCCTGGCCCAGGCCAGCCGGGAGACAATGTACAATTTTGTGGTGGCCATCTATGCTGAAACGCATTCAGTTTTAGCTCCACAAGGCCATCTGGAAACAGCAAGGGACCGGCCCCTGCTGCATTGGCCCCACCCCCTGGGTGCACGCTGGGGAGGTGTCACCCTTTGTGAGGAATGAAGAAATCCATCATCGCCTGGAAGTGGCCAGCAAATGGCCCTCACCTACTTCACATATCCAGCTTGATGGGCTCCGGGGGAGGGGTTTCGGCAGGCTCTTCCAGTGGACCATGCCTTAGAGCTTGCCCTGGTCCCACCCCCTTCTGCCAGAGACCCTCAGATCTGTTCCACTCCTGCCCAGGCCCCCACAAGCACCCTTGACACGAACGATGTATAGCTGGCCATGCCCACCCTGCCCCCCCCCCGAGGACAACCGCAATGCTGATGCGGCCCTCAATGAAATTGAGTTTGACACCCCTGATCTAGGCAATGCCACTCCTAGTTACATAGCACTCCATCAAAGGCATTCATCACACCTGGCCACTAATTGGATGACTGCTGAAGTGTTAAGGCTTCATCCCCCAGCTTGTTTTCAACAAAAGAAATTAATCTCAAAATAAGTGGGAAAACTAATCTCTAGACAGTTATCTATATCTGATCCCCTTGCCCGATTTCTTTCATAGAAGAGTATCTCTCAAGCATTTTGCATTCAGGTTCTGTTTTCCACCAAGCAAGCTAATACAGTGCTTGTACATAGCTACAAGCTGTGTGTATATCAAAATCTTGCTGATTTTGACATACACACAGGGACATCACTGAGCCACAGCCTTCAAGTGAACAGGGGCACTATCCTAACACTGAAATTACAAGGAATGAAGGAAAATTGGAAAATCAAAAGAGCAGCAGTTATGAAAAAAGAGGGACTGCTTTTGTTTCACTTGTCCATAGTTAGCAAAGATATTTTAAACTCTCCAGAGAGCCAGTCTGTGTAATGGTAAAAGTACTGGCCTAGAAACCAGGAGACTGTGAGTTTTAGTTCCTTCTTAGACATGAAAGTCAGCTGGGTGACTTTGGGACCAATAACTGTCTCTCAGCTCAGCCTACCTCACAGGTTTGTTGTTGTGGGGAAAAAGAGGAGAAAGGAGTATTATGTAAGTTCCACATTTCGAGTTACTTATAAAATAATAAAAGTAAACTAAAATTCTGATGAATAAACAAACTCAATGCACAAGCTGTAATACAGGAAGAAAAACACTGAAACATATTTCTTGGATTCTACCTTCTAGAATCTTTCTTGCACCTCCCTCTCGTAGAATTTTCTCCCAGAATTGGGAAATATTGTAATAATGGGACAGAATTTCCTATTAAGTTTGAAGGAAGAAGAATTTTCTTACCTGGAGGAAGGTGAGGGCTGCCCGGTGCAATAAGCATTCTGCATAGCATACTTCAGCATGCAGTTCCTCTGTAACAGGGAAACGTGGATTTAGGGAGGGGCGTGCAATATTTCTAAATATTGTCTCTATCATTCATCCTTTACACATGCACATTCACCTGAAGGCCATACTAAAATGAGTAGCCCCAAAAGGAAACACCATAATCTCTTAATAAAAGACATAATAAAGAAAAGCATTTAGGATATTAAGTATATTGTTTTTACATCCTACTGCAATCGAGGAGATAGGAAGCATATAAATTTAATAAATAAATAAATAAATAGTTGAGATAGAATGTCTTGCTTAACAACCATGTTGATTCGCTTCACCACAGAAGCAGAAGTGAGTCTGGCACAGTCATGTGATTTTTCGCTTAGCGATTGCAGCTAAGCAGATGGAAGTTGTGGTTTGGGTGGTCTTTGCTCACCTGGGAATTCAGAATTCAGTGCATCAGAGAGGATCTTGCCATAGTGACTCACATTTTTGTTATGTCCTACCTGAACTACTACCACAATATGCTTTCAGAAGCTTCAACTGTCCAAAGTGCAACGACCTGTGTGTTAGTCAGCTGGAGCACATTACAGGTAATCCACAGTTATGGGGCCATAAATTGGAACCAGAAACTTTGTTACTAAGTGTTGTAACACATATGGGTTATTCAGTGGAAAGAGGCAGAAGTCCCAAGTAAGGAATTCAGGGGAGCATGAGGGAGGTAAGCAGGTGTCATAGGGGGTGGGGGACTGCCAAGGGCAGCCTGCTAGGGAGCACAGGCAGGTTGGCATGGGATCCAGGAAGGCCAGCAGAAGGGCTGCAGGCAGATCAAAAGATGCCTTGGGTGGGCTGGCAGAGATTGCAGGAAAATAAAATGGCGGGGTGGGGGGTGCTGCAGGTGGGCAAGCACTGCAGAGGGTGAGAGGGCCAGAAGTGCCACACAGAGGTTCCCCAGGAAAATTCCACAATCAACTCCCTAATGGGCTTCTCAGGAGAAAAACAGCAGGAGCGACTTACTGGAATGACTTATAACTTCCCTGCAAAGTTGCCCATTGACTTTGCTTGTGGGAAGCCAACAGGGAAAATCACCTGATGTGATTCTCTGTGACACTGTAATCAGGAGCTGGACACCCGAGTATCATAAATTATCTAAAACACCAGATCTAGAGATAGCCTTTTACAGAGACGGTGGACAATATATTTCTTGCAATTAGATGTTGACATCCTCCCACATTTAGGAAACTATCCCTCTCATCAGCTACTTAAAGGAATCAAGAAAGACAAACATCCAGTCCACACATGGCAGAAGATACCCTAAAGAGCATCCATTTCCTTGGAGGACACAAGAATCCCAGGTAATGCAGTAAGACAGAGCACCATTCACTAGATCCTGCTTATCTGGAATCAAGCAAGACCTGAATGGATTTGTGCAACTTTATATCTACTCTTTCCTATCCTCCAGCTTTTCCTTCTTTAAAACAAATAAAATATTGTCTTGACTCTCAGCACTCTCACCTTCCATACAAGCATCTCCACCTTGCCGACTAGAGAAGGTACCAGTCACAGTGGTTTTCCTTCGAAATCTATCAGGGGAACCAAAAACAGTTGAATTACTAGGTTATTCATCCATCTTCTCCAACCCCTCACCCTAGGAGATTACTTTCCACCAGAAGCCATCCAGCATTATGCTCCAGCAGCAGTTTAAGCAATTCTCTACAATTTCTCTAAGTTATATTCATCCTCCAACCACTTGTCTTTTTGCACCCACTTTTTCATCCCATTTTTAAAGGGAATACGCATTTAGAATTGCAGATCTCGTACCTTGTTCAAGAAAGAGTTAAATATCCACCAACTAATGTGGCAATCAAGTCAGACTTTGGGGAAATACTGGTTATTTAGAAGCAACATTCACAAGCTCAATCAGAATAGAGCTGGAAGGGACCTTGATGATCTTCAAGCAGGAGACCCTACCATTTCAGACAGGTGGCTGTCCAGTCTTTTCTTAAGAACTGAACAACCTGTTATCCTCTCTGCAGCAGTCCCAGACCTTGGCTCAGAAACAAATCTTGCTATGGTCCATTCCAATAGTGTGTGTGTGTGTGAACTACACACCTCTGACAGATCTCCTGGGCTTCTTTCATGGTGTGCCCTGCATGGACAATATCCTCATGTTCGAAGGTCATCATGGCTTGCATCTCCAGGATGGTAGCATAAATTAAGGCATGGTACATGCTCTCTCCAATCCTGCCAAAAGGGGTCAACAACAAAAGACAAAAGATATAGTTCAAGGCAATATAAGACTTTGCTGGTTGCATTGACATATATGATATACACACACACACAAGCATGCATACATACATATGGCATATGGTATTAACAAAGAATGAGGATTAATATTTGGAACATCATCAGAATTGGAAGGGACATTGGAGGTCTTCTAGTCAAACCCCTGCTCAAGCAGAAAACCCTATACCATTTCAGATAAATGGCTGTCTCTTTTTTAAAGCCTCCAGTGATGGAGCATCCACAACTTCTGGAGACAACTCATTTCACTGATTAATTGTTCTAACTGACAGGAAAATTCTCCTTAATTCTAGATTGCTTCTCTCCTTGATTAGTTTCTATCTGTTACTTTTTATCCTGTCCTCAGGTACTTTAGAGCAGTGGTTCTTAACCTTTTTGAATGAATCGCCCCCTTGAGCCAATGAGGAAGTTGTCATCTCCCCCCTCCCCCAACATAACCTCTCAGTCATAACATAGGAAATAATTCTTCAATTTATGCAAACACTTCTTTGTTTTCTTTAAAATTGTCATCAGGACATATCGATGCAAATAATTTATTTCCAGTCTTTTTCCCATATCTCAAGTGTGTGAAAAAGTTTGGTGCCACCTGTCACTTTATTCCAAACTTCGTGATACGTGTATTTCATTATTATCTTATTTATTCAAGACACTTAAATGTAATGACCACTGAAAACAAAATTCAATTGCAAGAAAGTGAAATGCCTGAAAAGAAAAACAGTAATATTCAATGATTGAATTACAAGTGAAATTTAAGACGCAAAAAGAAATATAAAAAGTGTTGTGTCCTGAGCCTGCAAAAGCAGGCTCGGGACGTTGCATTGGCCCCAGGCATTCCAAAAGCTGCCCGGGACCAGACAGAGCAGCGCTAGCCTTGTGTGTATGCGCAAGGCGCGAAAACGCTCTGTTCGCATTGGCTGACATTGTCCAGGTTTCTGGCCATATAAAAAGGCCTGCGTGCCTTTTGTTTTTGCTCGGTTTTGAAGAAGAGGAAATAAAGAGTTTGTTCAGCATCGCCATGTGTCTTCATCATTTGCAAGCGAACGAAGTATACAACAAAAGGGTAGAGGCTGCTGCGCAACGCACATGAAGATAAGCAATGTGTATTCACATATGTATGGCATTCTGTACTGAAGGTAGCTGGAGGAACATTTGAAAACACAATTCAATCCACTAATAGCGAGCGATCTGATGTTTTTGTACGACAGATATACAGCAATTCACTGTATGAAAAAGTCTCAAAAGTGACCCCAAAACCTCTCGCTCCATCGCCCCCATATTGCCCCCTTTTCGTTCCTTCGCCCCCATGTTGCCCCTTTTTGTTCCATCGCCCCCCTGAAAAACAAAATCATATCACCCAGGTTAAGAACCACTGCTTTAGAGAATAAGTTGACCCCCCTCTTCTTTGTGGCAGCCCCTTTAATATTGGAACACTGATATCATGTCATCCCTAGTCCTTCTTTTTATTAGATTAGACATGCCCAATTCCTGCAACCGTTCTTCATATGTTTTAACCTCCAGGCCCCTAATCATCTTTATTGTTCTTCTCTGCACTCTTTCCAGAGGCTCAACATCTTTTTTATATTGTGGTGACCAGAACTGGATGCAGTGTTCCAAGTGTGGTCTTACTAAGGCTTTGTAAAGCAGTACTAACACTTTATGCAATCTTGATTCTATCCCTCTGTTAATGCAGCCTAGGATTGCATTGGCTTTTTTTTTTATGGTTGCAGCAGCCTGCAGGCTCATATGTAAATGATTGTCTACTAGGACAGTGATGGCGAACCTTTTAGAGACTGAGTGCCCAAACTGCAACCCAAAACCCACTTATGCATCGTCGAGTGCCGGGTGGGTGTGGCCCATTGGGTGGGCGTGGCTGCGATGGTAACGGCAGACTGGGTGGGACTAAAAAGTTAAATCAATCAATTCCAACTTGGCAAGATCTTTTTTTTCCCACGAGAAGTTGAAATTGACTGATTGAGCCTTTTTTTTTTTTTGTACACGGTGGCGGAGGCCTAAAGCGAAAAGGTTTTATTAAACCCAGCTGAAGGCCTAGGACTGGGGCAACGGCGCGCGTGCCCACAGAGAGGGCTCTGAGTGGCGCCCCTGGCACCCATGCCATAGGTTCGCCACCACTGTACTAGGACTTCAAGATCCCTCTCCCAGTCACTGCTATTGAGCCAAGTTTCACCTTATCTGTAGTGTATATTTGGTTATTCTTGCCTAAGTGTAAACCTTGCTTTTCTCTACAATGAATTTCATTTTGTTAGATAGGGCGCAAGGTCAAGAAGTTTGAGAATATTCAGTCAAACTTAAATTCTTCCATTGAACCCTACGAAGTCCAACTACCAATTAGCAGTTAAGTCAATCTATGCTCTGAGAATCAAATCAATGCAGTTTTATCAACAGTAGTGCAGAAAACTAGATGTGGCTTTTTAGTGTAGTAAGGGGATCCAGTCAAAGTCATTTTTGAATTGTGCATGGATTTCAATTATTTCTCCCAATATTTTTTCCACTCTCCTTCCCCACCTGCCCCAGTGCTTTTGCATTTGGTACCCTGTTATACACTTGCATAGTTGATTTATCTGTGGATTATTGTATTTTGGGGGAATCTAGCCACGGTGTCAGAATCCAATTATATTTCATCTCTAGTTATCAATTATAGAAAACCCCATTTCTGCCTTCTCTGGATTCTGTCATACGAAGAAGGGAAGGGGGTGAACAAAGGGGCTTTATGGCCCTCACTTCCTTCGGTACACTTCAAAGGAACTGGGTGTGTGTATCACCAAAAGGACTAACCATAACAAAGGGGGCTATTACCTTTCATGTAGTTTTCTCTGAAGTCTCCATCCAGCAGGCAGTAAGGAAAAGGGGGTGGGAGTGTAATGCCTGAGACTGTCGCTGGAAGTAGGGGGTGATTGGGTGGGGCTACTGGGGAACCCCTTAAAACCTTGAATGGGAAAGCTTGGACCCCAAGTCCTGTCTAGAACGCCTGCAACCATTTTCTCTTAATAAAGGATGCCTGTTGGAAGACTTATTCCAAGAGTTCTGTCTTCTTAAGATGCAAAGTGGGGTGGGTCCTTACATTAGACAGGACTTGCAAAATTAATCCACCCAGAAGGGAGACCCTTGCCGGGGGATTTTGCAAAAATTTACCATGTCAGACAATGGAGCAAGAAAGGGGGAAAACTCCCTGGAAAGAGAGCCGCTGCCCCAACTGGAACCTTGCCAGATGTTGGGATCTGAGAGATCAGATTCCTCAGGAGAAGAAGTAGTGGAGACACGGGACCACAAGCCTCACTGGTCAATGGGAAAGTGAGTGGGGAAAGGAATCAAGAAAGGTGACCCTGAGACGGGGGGGCCAAGCAACCAGAATGGAAGCAGGAGATGGAGAAATCCCTGCACGCAAGTGAAGAGGGAGAAAGCTGGGCACCGTACTCAGACTGGATCCTAGAGAAAGCTATTGACCTGAGGAAGAGAACTCTCAACTCCCTAGGAGAGGAGAATTCTGAGCCCTACGGCCGCCCCAGCTCCTGGAGCCGCAAAGGGAGAGACACCGAGGGGGAAGTGGAACCTGCAACCCCGGGGACATCTGCTGATCCAGTAGTCCCTACCCCCTACCGAACCACAGATGGCGATTTGGATGGAAGACACTACCACCAACAACAGAGGCACTGATCCATTCCAAGACGTCCACTGTTGGAGGTGAAATTCAAAAAGGAGCCAACACACTTGGGGTTTTTCCTAACCCAAGTCCTCAGCTACATGGAGGAATATGGGCGGGACATCCCCAGCGACAAAGCCCGCATCCAGATCATGCAATCTGCCCTGGACGGACCGGCTGCAGATTGGGTGGTGAACTTGCACGACTCCAATGCCCCAGAACTCAGTGACTTCAACCGTTTCATGTCCTCTCTGAGAAGACGATTTGAAGACCCCCTGGCTGATCTCAAAGCCCGCGAAAGGATAAAAACCATGAGGCAAGGCAAATGTCCAGTGGCTGAATATACACAAGAATTCCGGGCCATTGCCAGCAAACTGAACTGGCCAGAAGACATCCTCCTTAGCCATTTCAAAGACGGACTAAATTATGACCTCTATGATGCTTGCCTGCCCCGAGGGGACTCACATCAACTTGAGGAATGGTACATCTTGGCAGAGGAAGCAGAGATCGACATATTGAAGAGACACCGCCGAGGAAAACAATGGAGCCACTCCCTGCCTGAGTTGACACACGAACCAGTGAAACCATTGGCTACAGCCAAGAAGCAAATGGGGTGTTTCAAGTGCAGAAGAGAAGGGCATCGAGCTGTAGAATGCCGCTCCAAAGCCCCCCAGCACAACCCAGACAGATTCCCAATCAGCAAATCCGGAAAGTCTTCAGCTAAGCCAAAAGAAACTGCCATGAGAATGATGGAAATTGCGGAACCCCCCACTTCTGCTCATCAGGGGGAAAGAACTCCAGCCTACACCGCAGGGCTGGTGGACGCCTCAGATGACAGATGACACGGTCTGTTAACATACTGAATTAACAAGCTAATCCATAATATGTTTCATCTGATGTAATTTGGGCTTAGGGTTTAGCATTCATTAAGTGAATGCAGCTTTGCCATCAGCTTTTGCAAAGGAAGAGTTATTGCTTACAAGGGTGGCTTCAGATTTCATCAGCATCAGTTTTGTAACACAGACTTAAACTAGAATGGAAGGCAAAAATCAAACTCTTAATGTGCATTCTACTTAAGGCATTTGTATGTATGTTACTTTTTCTAGGCTCAAAACATAGACAAAAATAAGGTCCATTCATTAAAATACAGTAAAAATGATTCTTGATTTTAACAAAACGTATTTTTAAAAAGTAAGTCTACATAACAATTAAAGTTATCCAGTATGACCATTGTTTTTATTTTACCTTCTAAAGACCATCTGAGATACATAAATTTAGCAATCTTTCAGAATACATAAGAGTAAGAAGGTATTCTTTCCGTAAATGTTTCACTTCATAGAATGATAGCTGCAGTAAAACAGTTTCCCCGCTGTTTTCCCTATCCTTGTTTTAAACTATAGGAGTCATAAACGCTCTGTTCCTAAACTGCATCACTTAACATTGCACAATCTTTACATACTTTGGGTTTGACTAAGACTTATTGTTAAACAAATACTCTTCTTTCTTTTTCCCACATACAGGATGTATAACTTTCTCCATCAATGCCATGGGGATGCTGAAGATCATGCAGCAAAGAGTTGCCATTATTCAATAACATTTCATTCTAAATTTTGCCACCCAATCTAACAGCACAAGCCTGGCCTCTCTGTAATAAGCCTCCTAAAATACCAACTTCCAGCAGCAATATATTTTTAGAATACTGCAGCAAATATCCTGCTGCCTTCACCACAAGCTACATGAAATACTTATGAGCTGAATCCCTCACAGGGGAACTAGATAGCTATTTGCATAGGAGTGTTATGGAACACTTAGCTAGAGGAACATAATTTGCCTTATTTTAGACTTGAAAACAAAAAGGACTCTAGCAAACCAAGCTAATTCCCTTCCCACCCATCCATTTGAGTTCAATGTCTGAGAAGCAACTCTCCTTTCATTGCATCCCACAGATTTGTTTCAACGCTATAGCCACTATAGCCATGAGCATTGTAATTGGGGTCCCCTAGTTGGAAAGTGCTGGAGGAAGATTTAATTCAACAGAACAGGTAGGAACCCTGGTAACAGTGCGTAGAAAGGAAGCTGATATCCTGCATTTGTCCTGTGTGCAGGATGAATCAGCTTGGGAACCTCTGATTTACCTGGGCTGCAGCATTTCCAAGCTCTTACTGAACTGGTTATGCAGGAAACAATTCAGTGCCTCTGTGCACTCGGCTAAGGCAGTCTCCAGGGAAGTGCTGTGGGTAAGAAAAGAAGGCTAGTTATCACAGATGTTCTTTTAAGATTTGGAGTAACACACATTTTCTTGTAGCGACTGTCCATTTAATTATCAGTTTTTAGCCATTTGTAATGGAACTTTCCCTTAAACTGAACATTTGTTTTGGATGAGACAATATTAAGGCAAAGGCACAGATAAAAGATCTTTTGTGGACTTCTACATTTTGGCTATTACTGAAAAACATGGTCTAAGTGGGCAACCATCAAAAGAGGCGTTGATTTACCTCTATGGGAGGAGAGCTCTATGAATTTTAAGAGCAAGCAGCAGCATTTAATTCTAGCGATGTCAGCAATTCTAATCCCATCCAGCCCTGAAATAGTTCCCTACCATTAAATATTTTATTCACAATAGAAATAAATAATATCCTCATTTAATTACCCTCACATTAGCTCTAGAAGGTACCCAGGTTACCAAATAGATAGGAAAGCAATTACTTGCTCATTGACTGATAAAAGGAAGTGTAAATGTGCTATGCTTCTTTCCTAAAGCTATACGCTGCGAAACTTCCCAGGTCTGAGGGCTTCCCTCCCTCCTATAGGGATCAGGAAATGCCCTTCCTCTGGGGTACTTGAAGGAAGTGGTTGGCTACTTGTCACTTTTGTTTAGCTTAGGTGTCCTCCCAAAGACAGATTTCTTACATTTGACAACACTAAGCAAACACAGCATTTGCCAGTATCGTTACCCCACCTTACTCAAACAGGACTGGCCTTTCAACAAATTCTCCAACTGGTAAACTAGGTTTTATAGGCTCCTGCTATTCCCAGGAAATTTTAGGCAACTTTTCCTGTAAATGTAGAGACCCAGAGCTTTGTATTGATGTTGACCTGGTTTACGTGATAATTTATCAAGCTTAGTTTCCTCTGCATTAACCCATCATAGCTCTTCAAGATTCAAGACACGCGTCTTCTCCAAATGTAGCTAACCACGTCAGGAATTGATTGTACAATTCTTCTTTAAAAGAAGATACTAGAAATATAATCACATACTGTTATGTCCCGAGCCTTGCAAACGGCTCGGGCGTTTGCAGGCAGTCCCGGGCAGGTGCAAAGCTGCCCGGGACCAGACAGGCTGTCGCCAGCGCCGTGCGCATGCGCGGGTGCTGGCGCGGGAAAAGTAACCCATTTACCCGGGAGTTGCCTATATAAGAGGCTGTGAGGCGTTTGGGCTGAGCTGAAGCCATCTTCCTGTAAGCTGAACGCTGAATAAAAGAACCTGAGAACTCCAGCTGCTTCTCGTGTCTGTTTTCCCGCCAAGGACGCAACACTGGCGACGAAGGTGGGATGCCTTGCACTACCTGGAAAGGAAAAAGTGTAAGCTTACCCAAGGAGTCCTGAGCGGCGGAAGAGGAACGGTGTTGACTCAGCAGCTGCCCGCCAATCCAGTGCGCATTCGGGGGTAGGCTGGCTGATAGACCCGTCTCCTGAAGATCCGAAGATGGCGAAAATCGGAAGGCTTGCGGAATTCGACGTCTCACATCCAGAGCGGTGGGAGTCCTACGTATCCAGAATGGAGAACTACTTCAAGGCAAACCAAGTGAGGGAAGATAGCTTGAAGGCTGCCACCCTGCTTTGCGCTTGCGGCCAAGACGCCTTCGAAATCGCAGAAAACCTTGCAGCACCTGTTCCAGTAGAGTCTGTAAGCTACGCAGACCTGAAGAAGCTGCTGAAGGACCACTTCCACCCCAAGGTGTCCGTTATCTCATGGCGCCACACCTTCGAGCAGAGGGATCAACGGTCCGGGGAGTCAGCCAAGGAGTACATCGCCGCGTTACGGAAGGCCGCCAAGCCCTGCGAGTTCAAGGACCTCGAGGAACGACTGAGGGACCGATTCGTGTGCGGGTTGAGGCATCGAGAGCTACAACAGAGACTTTTCGCTAAGGAAGAATTATCCTTCCAAGACGCTTTAAGGGAAGCCACCGCGGAAGAAGCAGCAGGCGGCGCCGTCAAGAACATGCGGCCGATCAGAAGCAGTGCAGAGGGTGCGTCCGTGCACCAAGAAGACGTCCGACGAAACTCCGAGGAGGATCCGGACGAAGAAGTCGACCGTCTACACCCCGCGAAGGGAGAAAATCAGAAGGAAAGCTCTTCAGCTCCGCTCAAGTGCATCGGCTGTGGAGGTCGCCACAGGAGAACCGACTGCAAGTTCCGCTCCGCTACCTGCCGGGCATGCGGCAAACAAGGGCACATTGCAGCTGTGTGTCTGGGCCGACGAAAGGCACAACCTCAAGAAGAACGCCTGAAGGGTACCAGAGTCCCCAGCCAGAATAGGGTAGGTTTTTGCGCTTCGCGTAGAAACATTTGTAGGACAGGCACACACAAGCCCATGAAGAAAAAGCTGTCACTCAACGTGAAGCTACAAGGGGTTCCATTATCTATGGAACTAGACACAGGGTCCGCCCTTTCCATCATTTCATTGCATACATTTAGGAAGATTTGTTCCAGTAGTGGGACTAAGGCCAAGTTAAGGCCTTCTGATATTGTATTAACTGATTTTCAGAACTCAAGAGTGTGTGTTAAGGGGGAGGCCACCCTTAACGTGCAATACAAGAGTTTTGAAGGTCCACTAGACTTGTTAGTAGTAGGGGGTGAAAGAACGAGTCTCATAGGACTCGATTGGTTTGAGGCCCTGGGGATACACGTCACAGGACTCAACAGCTTACAAACACTCGACCTACAGGAAGTCTGCAAAGAATTTGCAGATGTTTTCAGCCCCCAGCTGGGCACATTCAAAGGACCACCTGTGTCCTTAAAGCTAGACCCCACTGTCACTCCCATTAGGATTAAAGCAAGAAGGGTCCCTTTTGCTTTAAAAAGTAAGATTGACACTGAATTAGACAAACTAATCCAACAAGGAATCCTAGAACCTGTTGATTCCAGCCCATGGGAGACCCCCATTGTCACGCCTCTAAAGGCAAATGGGGACATTCGCATTTGTGCTGATTACAAATGCACACTCAATAAGGCATTGCAGCAACATGCCTATCCTGTTCCTGTGGTCAGTCACATCCTGGCCTCTCTCAAGGGGGGGCGTGTTTTTGCAAAGCTTGACCTAGCTCAAGCATATCAACAGCTGCCTGTTGATAATGATGCTGCCATAGCTCAGACTATTGTGACCCACAGGGGAGCCTTTAAGGTAAAAAGGCTGCAGTTTGGAGTGAATGTCGCTCCTGGGATTTTCCAAAGCGTAATGGAAAACACACTACGAGGTATACCAGGGGTCTGCCCCTACTTTGACGATGTCTTGATTGCAGGAGACTCCACACACATTCTAGCTGAAAGGCTTAGGGCTGTCCTGTTAAGATTCAGGAAATCAGGCCTCAAGCTCAGAAAAGACAAATGCAAGATTGGGGTGCCTTCTACTGAATTTCTGGGATTCAAAATTGATGCTGCTGGGATTCATCCTGCTGAATCCAAACTAACTGCTATTTTAGAAGCACCCAGGCCAAAGTCTAAGGCCGAACTTCAGGCCTTCTAGGCCTCCTGAATTTCTACAATTCTTTTCTTCCACATAAAGCTAGTGTAGCTGAGCCTCTTCACAGGCTACTAGACAAACAAGCTGTGTGGCTGTGGTCACAAGCACATGAGGCTTGCTTTAAAGAAGTCAAGGCCTTGCTCACTTCTAACAGTGTTCTTGCACATTTCAACGAGTCTCTTCCTGTGTGCATCGCTTGTGATGCATCCCCCTACGGGGTTGGAGCTGTCCTGAGTCACCTCAGGTCTGATGGAACTCAGGTTCCTATTGCATACTACTCCAGAACATTGTCTTCTGCCGAGCGCAACTACGCTCAGATAGACAGGGAGGCTCTGGCTGTTGTTGCTGGAATTAAAAAATTCCACGATTTTCTATATGGCAGGCATTTCACGGTCTTCACTGACCATAAGCCTCTGCTGGGACTGTTTACCACACGTAAGCAGACTCCCCACATCATTTCCCCTAGAATGCTTAGGTGGTCTATTTTTTTGTCTGCATATGATTTTTCATTACTCCACAAGCCTGGGAAAGAAATGGGCCATGCTGATGGCCTCAGTAGGTTGCCTCTGCCAGTAGTAGAAGCTGACCCCGCGCCAGCTGTCAACATTCTATCAATCCAAGCCTTGCCCGAGCTCCCTCTTAGTGCCAGGGATGTTACCGCTGAAACAGGTACAGATCACACACTTTCACGTGTCCGCTCCTGGGTCCTGTCCGGGTGGCCTGAGCACTGCCCTAGTCCTGAGTTTCAGAGTTTCTGGTCCAAAAGGAACGAATTGTCCCTTTCTCAGGGTTGTTTGCTTTGGGGAAACAGAGTTGTCATTCCCACCTCAATGAGGACTAGGGTCTTAGAATCCCTCCACGAGGGTCATCCTGGCATTGTTCGTATGAAGGCTCTTGCACGCAGCCACTTGTGGTGGCCTGCTTTAGATAAAGATATTGAGGCTAAGGTACACGCATGCCACATGTGCCAACGATCTCGCCCAGAGATGCCCCAAGCTCCTGTGCATAAATGGGAGGAAACACAGTCCCCATGGTCTAGGGTGCACATTGACTACGCTGGGCCCTTTCAGGGCCAGTTCTTCTTGGTCCTTGTTGACAGCCATTCAAAATGGCTTGAGGTTGTGCCTGTCTCGTCCACCACCACTGCAAAGACTATTCAGGTACTGAGGGGGATTTTTGCTGCACACGGGCTGCCAGATGTCATTGTGTCTGACAACGGCCCTCAATTCACCTCCTCCGAATTCCAAGCTTTCTTACAGGCAAACCTGATTCGTCATGCCACATCTGCGCCTTTTCACCCATCCACCAACGGTATGGCTGAACGCATGGTGCGCATCGCAAAGGACGCCTTGAAGAGACTCACCTACGGGGACTGGCATCACAGGTTGGCTGACTTTCTCCTTTCTTATCGCACCACACCGTCCACTTCTACAGGGAGAAGTCCAGCTGAACTTCGTTGGGGGCGCCAACTTACTACGAGACTTGACC